GCCATAGAAGATGATACCGAATCAACTTATGGATGATGGTGAAGATCGTTATAATGACTCAAATTATGTATGGTGCCACTGATGATGATACTGAGTTAATGTATAGATGGTGTTGTCATTGATATTGGCGAGGGAAGTTATAGCTGGTGTTAGATGAGATGATGCTGCTTTATACTACACCTGTTACGAGAGATGTTGAAGTTTGATGTTTTCGTAGTGAGATTTTAGTGATGTTAACGCTAGATATGTACATGAGATTTGTTGAAGACGTTGATAGTGGATGTAGTAGTAGGTGGAAAAATAACCCACGATGTTGGTGAAATTCACCCGTGTGGTAATAGTAGTATGATTGGCATTTGGTGTGATATTGTCAAAGCTGTGTTTTATTAAATTCTATTTGATAGTCATGGAATTCGTTTTGTGGTATATAGTGAGTCACTTTCCTTGTCCGACTGAAACGAGGCATAAGAATGCGTCTGAGATAGTTCTTTTGAAAAACTGTGTTTAGTTGCTCAAGGTAGTTGTATGGTGTTGTTAGTAATCTGTCGTTCTCTTTTCTGCGGTATATCTTTTATTCTTTTCATGATTGAATCGAGCGAGGCCTAAGTGATCGACGCGTTATTTGTATATATTAATGTATTTCATTTTTGTATTCTAGATAATTATATTTAGTTGGTCAATGAATTGCGTTTTTGGTGATTAGAATGTATGATAATATTGATCGGTTCTTTATTTGAGATTATTATTATCCTAAGAGGAATTAGTAGTAAGCATGGTCTTAGTTATTTGAGATTATCTTGTTTTATTAGTTTACGCGATTTTCTTCAATAGTTGGGTTAGTGGATATATGGGAAAAAGATAAAGGCGAAATTAAAAGCTACAGTGTGGTGCCTGTACTTTTTAGATACAGGTTTTGTTTTTGAAATGAACGAACATTGGAATGATCAACTTTCGATTTTATAAAATGAGAGACTATTGAGAGAATAGATGATTTGGTTCTTGGATTGTGTGGTCTTTTTGTAGTTGTTCTTTGTAGAATGTAGATAATAGCACATGCATCTTGCGATGTATTTTATTTCTCTTTTAATATAGTATATTATAGATAATAAACAGATGAAATAAGAAAAATTGAATCGTCCTGAATCAGAGAACCCGTGCTCTCCTGCATGGGCAACATATTGCAGAATGTTGCCATTCATAATGTGAAACTCTCTCCCTTTAGCAGCTTTTTGTATGACTTTGTAGAGAATTTTGAGGATTATCTTTTTGTAATAAACTATTTTGACGATAGGAAGAATAGAGGGGAGATTCTAAAAATATTAAGAAGGCAATTTTTTATGGGATATCCGTTATATACATATATTTTATTTTGTTTATTAACTTTTGAAATATACAATAAGCAGTGTGTGTTTTATTTTTAGTCTCATAGAAATCGGACAACTCATTAATCATTTATGTTCATATTAGTTTATCATACATACAAGTAATAAGCGACCATTAAACTCAATCTTTTACCATGATTTTTATTTTTATACGTACAGGTAAGACGTTCTTTTTGAATATAACTAGAGAACACAATTATATGGCATGTTGATATAGGCTGGGTAAGATAGAACTGTAAGTATATGTAATTGCGTACAAATTTCTAATAAATTCTATTTTTTTCTAAGATTGCAAGCACAAAACAAGTGGTAACCTTTCAAAAGTTCGTTTATCGTCGAGTGAGTTTTCAACTATGAGAAAATACTTGATTGTTAGTGAAGTAGAAATTCAAATTGTTTTTTAGAAGAAAAAGCTTGTTTTAGATATCACCGAAAATGAAAGAGTAGTAGAAACATTCTTTGGAATTCAATTACGACTTTATGAAGAATCATTATTAAAGTTACTAAAACTGGATACCCAACGAAGTTTTCTGAAACATCATTTGAATAATATAATGTATTTAGAATCTTTTATTATGGTTTGGAATTCACAATAAATTAGTACATCATGTTTGTATTAATAACACTGAGTGATAGATCTTACTGGATTTTATCTTGATCTCAATGTTTTCAAATAATTGCACTTTCATTGAATTATATTCTTCTCTCAATGAAATTTCGAAGGAGAAATTTCAAGTAATTAAATTGTTATTTCTATTCATATTTATATATTTCTTTCTATTGATGATATTTTTAGGCAAATCTCACTGAACGTCTATTCCTATTTCTTATACTTCTTTGGTTATCAAAGCAACGAACTCCGTCGTCTAGATGGTAAGTGATTAAATATTGTTTGATATTGATGCACAAACGATTTTATTTTAGATCATGTTAGTGTCAACTGGCGACTCAAGGTTGTCGCTAATTATTTCAGTCATTTTCTTTTTTGTTTATTAATATATATATATATATATATATATATTTTGATTACAATCCTTTTGTGCTTCACATAAATAGATATAGATAACTAGATCTTCAAAACCTTTATTTTCATTACAACTTACCAAGAGATTAACCATCAACATAAGACTCCCTTACACAAACTTAGGAGCACAGACGAAGCAGTTTTATTCCCTTATCAAGAATAATACAGTACAGGTAGGAATTTAACAAAAGAGAGTAGGATTCTATATAGACGCAGGTTTTCGAAAGATTATCTTCCCGCTTACATATCAACGTAGGTAGGATTATCAGATATATAATCGAAAAATCTAACAGATCTGTTGATGAAAAGTGAATATCTAGTCGTTAATGTTGAAGATAAATGTGTGATGAGTTCTCTTTTACCTGGAAAATATTCAGATCGTGATACATGTCTTTCCATCGTCACATTTTTCAAGTACATGAAAAACTTTTGTAAATCTATATACAGGTCCCTAGTAGAAATTCTTCCATACTAAGTAATATATCTTCCTGTTTACATCTCCAGATCGATTATTTCGACACCAAGTTTCATAGAATCTTCTAAGACTTCACTAGGCGATTAAATCTGTTAAGAATCCACATAAAGAACTCAACTAAGATCTCATCAAAAAAGTGTTAATTAATACGACTCTTTTTAGCATCTATTTAGTCAGTACTAGATGATCATTAAGTAAGAAAGAAAATATTTAGTAGTCAACAATAGTAGTTACTACATAACTAGTCAAAAGCAGGATGATGATCCATACATGACTTACTTTTTTAGATCAGTTAAATTTATTTTAATGTATATCATAATTCAATAAAACTGATTCAATGTTTTCACTTTGAGAATCACCCGTACATTTATACATCCATAAAATTCAGAAATTTAAATAATTCAAGTTAATATTAGCATGAGATTCGATATGACTTTTCTTGAGGGTGTGAGTGTGAGTGTGGGCGTGGGACTAGGTTGAGTATAACACCCACAGCCGCACCCACAGCCACACCCACAGCCACACCCACACTCTTGTTTCAAAAATAGTCAGTATTCAGTTCAATTGAGTATAGTAACGACAAACATGCTTTATATTCATTCTAAACTATTTTTCAGAGCGATGGAAAAAATAATAAGACGCTGTTGATGATGACACAGGTAGTTGATACTGTACAATGTTTTTATATGCAGTCACTATTCGTAAGTACATGACTAATATATCAATATTTTTGTTGTTGTTAAACATTTTTGCCTCTCGAACATCATTAAATATTCAATGGTCTACAGTAAAATATTCCATTAACAGTTATCGATGTGAATATAGTTATAGAGAACAATGACTGAAGCATCTGTTTATCGTAGAGAAAATGTATTTTAGTTATCAAATTAATTAACACGTATGAGAATGGATTAAAAACGCGTATTGAATGAAACTCATGATGAGAGTTACAGTGAAGATATTATAGGATTTTATTCTTAAAGATTTTTTTAGATATTCTATAAAATAATCGTCATTGAATTTAAGACACTCTGATAGAATAGGTTAAACTTTGTGAACTTAAATGAATATCTTCTGTATCACTTGTCTCAGACTGAGTAGTTTGTTATATTTTTTCACTTCGAATGCCAACATTACCATATTTTGCGTTGTAATTTTAATCATATGCTTATTTGGTCGTAATATTCTAAGAACAAATCATGATTGCGTTTTTTTCTTAAAAATTTTTTCCTATAATACCGATTACTTACGAAAGTCATCAGAATTATTTTCACTCTGTCTACTCATTTTGATTAAGTAAGATCAAAACATTGAGCTCTGCATACATTGTAATACTATGCTGAATTGTAATTTCTCTATATGTCGTTTAGTTTACCGATGAAAATTCAGTATTTTGCTGATCGAGAAAGACGTCAACTATTCGATTATTCTACAGATATTATTATAAGATGATACTGATTCTAAACAAGCTCTTCAGTGAATATTTAATAACACTACAGAACTAACATTGTTTTTTTTTCTTTCTTATTCAATATAATATCTCATTATTTTAGTTCATTTCCTTGTGTGATTGTGAAATATTATTATATAAGGATAGTCTATGGAATTCTTATATCAACGATAGAAATGCAATTTCATTTTTCAAATTAGAACAATAAATAATCAGTTTAATGATGCTGAATCTTTTCTGACGTGTCCAGATTCATGTTTTCTTTTTTCTTATCTTTTTATAATTTCTAGATTGTAATCGGCTTTTTGCATCAGAAATAGATATTTTTATATCTGTTTATTACAAAAAATGTTTCAAAAAACGAAGCGAACAGCAGCGACTACTGATAATAAAGTACAACGACTGAAGATTTCTGGTTTAACAGAAGCTGTAGCTTCATCTGCTCAACAGCGTATCTACATACATGAAAATCTTTATTTTAGTGGCCCGGATTTGTCTATCTTCAATAGTCTGGTTCCACTGCAGATCAAACGGGGTTCAGTGTTAATAGAACACATTCGGTTATCTTTAGTTTCAGTAATTCAGCAGCATACAATTTTTCGTACTTCCATTCGTTTCAATTCAATACGTAATCAAATCGAGCAATATATCCAACCGCTCACGGACGATATATATTCATTTGAACATTCACGAGATGTTTCCACATTAGAAAAGCTTGATCGTCTATTGACGAACGAATCGATTAGAAAACATTTCGATGTTGAAAACGGAAAAGTTTTACGATGCCATGTAGTGCAACGATCTGCTGAGGATCGTAATGATTCACTACACGAAGGTGATCTTATTATTTTTGTAATTCACCATATCGCATTTGATCTCACATCATACAAACCATTTCTAAAAGCTTTTGAAAGAGCATGTTGGGCAAATGAATATCAACAATCAGTGTTAAAAATTCCACAATACATTGACTTTGCATTGTACGAACAGGCATTGCTAGCCGACTTAAATGCACAGTCAAAAATGAACAAGTCTCGTCAGTTCTGGGCTAATCTTATGCATGGATACGACTGGGATAAAATACAACATTTGGTGCCCGACGAAGGTCAAACTGATCGACATCGTTCTGGCCGTGGTTATTCATCTGCATTTATTATCGATCAAGATGTTGTCGATTCAATGATGTTGTTTGCTTCAACCAACGATGTAACAATGTTTTCACTGTCTCTTGCCTGTTATTATGCATTCTTATTTAAACTAACTAATCATGATGATGACTTGTGTATAGTAAGCACTGCAGCTAATCGTCTTGAGAAAGAGATACAAGATATGATTGGTATGTTTGTCAATCTTCTATTATACCGGATCAAAATTGATCCAAATACTATATTTAAACATCTCGTGCAACAAGTACAACAGCTAAGCAATGAAATTCTTGTACATGCTTCTTTACCTTATCAACAGATCATTGATTCCCAAGGCAAACGAGAAATTAATGTATTACCTTCAATTTTTTTCCAGTATGAATCTTTAATATCATCCATGATACTAAAAAACTCAATTGAAATATCTGTGAGCGAAGGTTCGTTTGTAAGTTCCTACAATGACCGAGATCTGAATCACCAAAGCGGTATATCACGATTCGATATCTCTCTTACAATTATTCATGACCATCATACGCGAAGTACAGAATGCTTTCTGAATTGTTCTGCTGATATATTTAAACATCAAGATGATGTCGATCTACTATCAAAGCGTTTCCAGCATATCCTTATGCAACTCTTTGGCTCTTCGATTGTAGAGGAGCCAATCTGTAATCAATGTAGTATATCTATCAGCAACTTATCACTTAGTTTACCCGAAGAAATCGAAGAAATACAAAAAGTAATCTTTCACAGATTACCGACTATTGCAAATGAAGGTATGTCTATCCACTCTGATGTTTTTGAATGTGTAACAATGAAATCCGTGTAGATATACTAACAAATGATGTTTCCAATGTAATAAAGCTTCTCACAGTAACCTTTCCGAAAATCTTATTCGTCAAATACTGAGCAAAAGAATGGATTCAGTTAAGATAATCAAACACAACAGGATATATTCTATATTGATTTATATTTTCAACATCTAAATCGTAGCATAAATGGTCGAAGTTCAAATACTTTTCTCTGAGATAAAGAGTGACTAAATTTAGTTTTCAAGATTAACAAACACCAAGTCGAAATACTACAGTTACATATTTCCCTATTTATGGAGAGTAATAATTAGTGGCGGCACTACCCACTCAAAACTGATCAGAGCACATCGTGGAATGGTATTAGCCCTTATATTTTTCACGCGCCTTTTGGTCTAATGCTGATCATAAAATATTCGGCGGGACTAAGCCTACGCTAACAGAAAATCTTACTTCGATCATCAAAGTTAAAAATTGAATCCATTTTCCAAATTAGGCGAAGACTATTATAGTAATATGATGGTGATATTTGTATTCAAATTTGAGATAGACTAAAACTAATTTTTCAGCTTTTTCTTAAAATTTCATTTCAGCCGCGTCTAGACACAAAAACGACTTCATCTCACTTGTGGTCGATTGCTACAATTATTATGCCCTTAGATTCAGAAAAATATTTATACAAAATTTTCTAATGCGATTATCATCTAATACTGTAATCGTTTTAGATAGAAAAACAGTATATTGCTCAATGTACAACTCATATTTATGATACGTAATTTCAAAATCCAAAAATCTTTAGTTTCTATTTATCAAACGATTATAAATGAATTCTTAATACTAAATTTTCATTATTTCAGCACCAGCTTCCTATGCACAAGCTCGTATTTGGCTCGATGAACGAATTCGTTTCGATCCAGACAAACCTCAAATAGCAATCTATAATATGCCATTTCAATATCGTCCCGTTCCAGAACATACTTTATCAATAAAACGATTACTTCATGCTCTCCAACTAATTGTCCTAAAACATCAATCACTGCATACATCGCTTGCCTTTGACACAGAAAAGAACCAAGTCATGCAACGAATCATTGATTTGAACACTAATCATAGGCACATGCTTTCAGTTATCGAAAGTATTTATGAAACAGATGAGCAACTCACTAAGATTATGCATGATGAAAAATGTGATCCTCAACTTTTTAATCTTGCTCAAGGTCAGGTTTTTCGATGCCATATCGTTTATTACAAACAATTCTCTTCAAATCATCTTCTTTCTCACAAAGATCTACTTATCTTCAACTTTCATCATGCTCTATTTGACTTTCCATCAATGACTATCTTTCTTCGTGATCTCAATCAAGCATACACAACAGGCCAATTATTATATGATGACAACGCTAATCTACGTTATATCGATTGTAAACACAAATACTAGTTCTTTTTTCTCTTTGTTAACACATTCTTTTCTTTTATTGTATAGATGCTGTTATTGAACAACAAATGTCAATGACTGGTGCAAGTATGTTTTGGCGTGATGCTCTTCATAATTGTAAACTTGATCAGGCTTTATCATTACCATTTGATCGATATCGTCTTGCAAACGAACATCGAACTGGTTGTGGATCATCTATTTCATTTGATTTTGGTCAAGATCTCTCACATCACTTTCTTATTCAAGCATCATCAAACAATATAACACTGGAATATCTTGCACTTGCTAGTTATTATGTCTTTTTATTCAAATTAACCAATGGAGAAAATGATTTATGCATTGGCATAAATACACATGGTCGATATAGAGATGAACTTAACTCTATCATTGGAATGTTTGTGAATGCTATACCTTTACGATGTCAACTCGATCCTCATTTACCATTTCATGAAATCACTAAACACGTTCAAGAAAACATGATAAATTGTATGAAATATTCTTATTTTCCTCTTCAACGTATTCTCAATCAGCATCCAAATATATCAAATCCTGTATTTCTTGATACATCATTTGACTTTATAGCATCTATGAGAAGAGATGAGGAAGATGAAATGGTGATTAGTGATAGTCGATTTTCTATACTGCCTCATTCAATTAAGATTAATGAAGATGAAGTAATGAGTAAATTTGATTTCATTCTTAGTTTTAAACATGATCTGAATCTAAATGAATTCTCATGCACAATCAATGCATCACTTGATTTATTTAATGTTGAAACAGTTTGTATAATTGCACAAAGATTACAGACAATGTTACATCGACAATTCACATCTTTCGACTGTGAAGCAACCAAACCAATCTATGAATTATCATTAATATTATCAAATGAACAATATCTAATGCAATCAATGAATAATACACAAGTATCATTTCCATCGCCGCTTACTTGCATTCATCATGAGTTTGTATATCAAGTAATGAAACATCCACAAAAACTAGCTGTTGAACTAGATGAACAATCATTGACATATTGTGAACTTCTATATTATGTTCAAGTCTTAGCTTTCACTCTTCTTAATCAATATCATGTCCATCCAGGCGAGGTTGTTTGTCAATGTTTTGAGCGAAGTCTGTCAATGGTGAGTTGTTATTTGAGATTGATTTTTAGTGTGACTGAAGTTTTCATATTCTCTAGGTAATTGGTATCATGGCAATTGAAATGGCTGGTGGTGTTTATTGTCCATTATCACCTCGAGATCCACAACATCGTTTGCATGCACTCATGCAACAAACACAAAGTCGTCTTGTGCTTGTTCATTATCAAACTAAGACCAAATTCCACGATGATATCATTTCACTCGATATTGATTCAGTTTTAAATGTTAATAATATGAATAATGACATGAGTTATAATTGCCTTTCAAGTGTAAAAGTGAAAGACGAAGAGGTAGCTTACATTATTTTCACTAGTGGTTCAACTGGAACACCTAAAGCGGTTCGTTTTTACTTGATTTTCAAATATCTAATTTATTATCATGCTCTTTCATAGGTTCAAGTTCGACATAAGAACTTTATCGATTGCATCAATTCTTTGGTTTACATTAACTCATTGAATAAAGATGATACAGTTGTACAAATGACACGATGCTCATTTGATATTCATGTTCAAGAGATACTTGGTACATTGTTGGTTGGAGGCACATTGATTATGCTTCGTCCAGGTGGAACTATTGATTTCGATTATCTATCTAAAGTGTTACAGAACAAACAAATCACATATCTACATACTGTTCCAAGTTTATTGCATAGTTTTTTCACTTCTGTCCAACAAAATAACAATCCGACTGTCTTGAAACATCTTCGGTCACTTTGCAGCAGTGGTGAGTGATATCCGAACTAATTCCATTTGCTTATCTCGCATATGTTTATTATTGTAGGTGAACCTTTTTCTGTTTCTTTAATTAATTTGATCGTGAAAATCGGTATAGCAAACTGTATTGTATGGAATTTGTATGGTCCAGCAGAAGCAACCATAGATTCTACAATTCATTGTGTGTATGTTACAAATGATATAGAGAGTATTCCAATAGGTAGACCGCTTTCTAATTACCGATCCATGCTTATGAATCACTATTTACAATCATCTGCTACCGACGAAGAAGGTGAACTGTGTGTAGGAGGAGTAGGTGTATTTGCGGGTTATCTTGGACGTGATGATTTAACTGCAAAAGCTCTTATCGAAATAGATGGTCAACTATTTTATCGAACAGGTGATCTGGTTAGAATAGATAACAATGGTCTTCTTCATTATCAAGGAAGAAAAGATCATCAAATCAAACTACACGGTCAACGAATTGAACTTGGTGAAATCGAACGATGTTTACTCAACATTACATCTATTTCTGCTTGTGTTGTCATGAAATGGAATGATGATTATTTAGTTGCTTATGTTCAATCTTCTCATATCAATGAAGAAGAACTACGTCAACATTGTCAATCTCATCTTCCACCACATATGATACCATCCATATTCATTATACTAGATAAATTACCTCTGAATCCAAATGGAAAAATAGATCGAAAACAACTTCCGCCACCTCACTTCTCATCAACACATCTTACAAACAATATAGAACTATTACACCCAACAAATGATATTGAAATTAGTATTCATCGTATTTGGTGTGAGATATTCAAACAAAGTCAAATCTCAACTGATACAAATATCTTCACTATTGGTGGTCATTCATTAATTATAATCCAACTTTTTCATCGATACAAGATCGAGTTTCAATTAGAAACAAACACTCTTTCTATTTCGAATCTATTTCAACATTCAACAATTATTCATCATGCTCAACTCATTCAACAATCTATCAATATTATCCACACTCTGGACGATTATCCTTGGTCTTCATTACATATCGCTGTAGCTAGAGCATCATTTGCACAAGAACGAATCTATTTAGATGAACAAATTCGTTTTTCATCCAACAAAACAACCGTGAATAATATGTATGTTATTCCATTACTTTATCGTATATCATCTATGAACGATCATGTATTAATTACTCGATTATATCATGCATTCCAAACTATTATCACAAAGCATAACATTCTTCGAACAGCACTTTATATTGATGATACAAATAGTAATATTATACAACAGTGTTTAGATGCAAATATCATTCTTGATGGTGATATGAAATCAAATAGATTGGTTATTATTAATCTTCGTAACAATGATCGTTCTCATATGAATGAAACTATAGAAGAGATATTAAATCAAGCTGATTTATTTGATTTATCAAAAGGACGTGTTATTCGTTGTCATATTCTTCGTCATTATCATCAATCTCAAGATAGTATCTCAAATGAGAACGATGATCTATTGACTGAAAATGATCATATATTGATTAGTATCCATCATGCAATGTTTGATGGAGCATCAACATCAATCTTTCTTCATGATCTTTCTCTTGCTTATGAATCTGATGATTCACAAGTTCGATCATCAATGGATGAAAACACATTGAAGTATATAGATTATTCTGTTCAAGAACACATCATGGATATGTCATTATCTCGTGAATTCTGGCATTCTCAACTTGAAGGATATAATCCTGCACGCCAATTATCACTACCTGTTGATCGACAACGTTCATCAACTAATCACCAGCGATCAGGTTTAGCATCCATAGCTGAAATCACTTTCGATAGTGAAATATGCACATCATTTTTAAATTATGCATCATCACATCATCTCACACCTTTTCAACTTGGATTATCTATATTTTATGTCTTCCTATTCAAATTATCTCATGGTGAGACTGATTTATGTATTTCTTCTATTAATGCTAATCGATATCGAAATGAATTACAAAATATGATTGGAATGTTTGTTTCAACGTTACCATATCGTGCTGAGCTTGATCCCCATTGGTCATTTAATGAAGTAGTTAAACATGTTCGAGAAAAGTGTTTATCAATTCTTGAACATTCTCATTATCCACTTCAACATATTCTTGGTGATAATCAATTAACTCAATCGAATGTATCATTTCTTGAGATAATGTTTGATTTTATTACTGTGTCAAAAGATATGGAATATTTATGTTTGAATGATACAAATTTGAAACAAATATCATTAGAGCAATCACTTGAAATGTCAAAATTTGATTTCTCAGTAACATTTGAATACAATTCATTATCAGATAATAAGAGATTATCATGTAGTTTTGTTTGTTCACGTGATCTGTTTGAAAAATCAACAATTTCACAAATAGCTCAAAGATTTGAATACATGTTTGAGCAATTGTTTCAAACACAAATGAACACTACTGCTATAATCGATCCTAGTCTATCGATTGACAAACTTTCTCTTATTCTTTCTGAGGAAGCTGAAGAAATGGAATTAGTTGTGTTTCATCGATTGGAGAATATTGTGAATGAAGGTATGATTGCGTGCAGCTTATTCGATTGTTTTATAAACGTCGTACTCAGTTAAATTAATAATGAGAAAATAGGGATTCGAATGTGTTGTCATCGTCAATGGCTCAGGTAGTGGCGTAACTAGGAGGGGGGGGGGGCAGATGGGGCTTAGTCCAATCACCGAGTGTTTAAGCCCCACCACCCGGATTTTTTAGTTACTGAGCTTATCAATCAAAAAATCCAAAAGACTACTCATGTAACAAAAAACTACAAAAAATATGATTAAAATCGATTATTTTAGAAAAATTCATGAAAATCAATTTCTATTGATTTTTTGTCGATGAAAAATCGGATGTAAATCGTGCCATTTAAATCGATTTTTCATTATTGAAAAATCGATGAAAATCAGATTTTTTACGTTTTTTTTACATGGTATAGACAGCTCTGGTGCTGAGCTCCATCACCCTTAAATTTCTGGTTACGCCACTAGGGTCAGGTTGTTTTTTCAGGTGTTATAGTTTTGTGACTCTTAAGGAGAGATCGCTCATGAATATCTGCTTTGAATATGTCAACAGTCTTGTATTTTTATATTAATATAAGAAAATTAACACGTGACGTTGCTCGAAAATTGTATATGTCGTTTTAAGAGACGGAACAACTATGACATTAGAATTTTTCGTAAGTCTGCGTATGTATAAACTGGCACTCTCTCAGAACTAAGATACACTCGTAGATTTTATGCCACAAAACAAATCACACTTAAGTTATTCAGACTGTTAAACAGAATTGGTAAAACACAGAGTTTGGCATTGGCGAAACTAGTCTTCTTTGACTTCTAAGTAAACAAAGTACTAATCAGTAATAAATTGTCGAAGATTTTGGGTATCGAAACTGAAATCGAGGTGAAAAACATAAAAAGGCTTGCAGTCGGACCCAGAATTACAGGGTCAAAGCTTTTCGGAGTCATAATCCGATTGTATAGTCATAAAACACTTACATCACATAGTTCTCTACCATCAAACATTTTTGTTTACTTTGGTTTTCTTCCAATGTTATATAATAAAGCTTGTACAAAGATATTTTTGTTTTATTCACTGCTTTAACGTACGTGTGTAGATTATAAAAATTGTTAAACATTGGATTCGGTGTTAGACCTGTTGTTCTGGAGATATAAAAATACTATTTTTTACTGCTATTGCAAAATATTAACGCATTCTTAACATTAATACTAAGACAATATTCTTAATACAGACTCTACTCACGAGGGAACTTCACCAACTGATACCAAGCTTTTCAGTTCGGACCCCATGCATAAAGTAGGTCCTAGTGAGGTATGAAAAATCCCAAAAGGATAAGTGCCATTATGCCTTCTGTCCCGAGTTATAGGCAATATACTGAAATTTTAGCCTATGGCAGGGTATGTAGGAATAAATCAAATGGCGATATTTCGACCTGAGATTTTACCCACAGAGAGGTCTATTAGTGACTAGAATACCCTGAAAATTTCAGCTCAAAAGAATGTTTCCTTCTCGAGATATTAAAGTATCAAAAAACAGGAAATTCTAGTATGTTTCGTGGGATATACATGATTTTTTGAGACTTTAATATCTCGAGAAGGAAACATTCTTTTGAGCTGAAATTTTCAGGGTATTCTAGTCACATATAGGCCTCTCTGTGGGCAAAATCTCAGGTCGAAATACCGTCATTCGATTTATTTCTACATACCCTGCCATAGGCTAAAATTTCAGTATATTGCCTATAACTCGGGACAGAAGGCATAATGGCACTTATCCTTTTGGGGTTTTTCATACCTCACTAGGACCTACTTTATGCATGGGGTCCGAACTGAAAAGCTTGGTATCAGTTGGTGAAGTTCCCTCGTCAGTTAAAAAACCAATTAGATCAAAAGTGATTAGAATATTGATATCAAGGATCATTTGACTATGCACCTTTTACATTATAATTAACTAAACTCGCATCATTCTAGCACCAGCATCATTTGCACAAGCTCGTATTTGGCTTGATGAACGAATTCGATTCGATCCAGAGAAGCCACAGGTAGCAATCTATAACATGCCATTTATTTATCGTATGCAATCAAGTCATACTTTATCCGTTAAACAACTTCATCAAGCTCTACAGATCACTGTTGACAAACACCTCTCACTCCATACGTCACTTACTTTTGATGCAGAAATGAATATGCTCATGCAACGGGTTATTACACGAAAAGAAAATCACACTGATATGTTTTCAATCATTGAATCTACTTATGAAACAGATGAACAACTTAATAACATTTTACACGATGAGAAACGTAATCCTCAACTGTTTAACCTTGCGCAAGGTCTTGTCTTTCGATGTCATATTATTTATTATCAACAAGTCTCTTCAAATGACCTACTTTCTGACAAAGATGTAATCATTTTCAATTTTCATTATGCTTTGTTTGATTTTCCATCAATGCAAGTATTTCATCATGATCTTAATCAAGCGTATACAACAGATCAATTATTATATGATGACAACACTAGTCTTCGTTATCTCGACTGTAATTATAAATACTACTTCTACTTCTCTCTTTTCTAATACATTCTTTTCTTTGTTATATAATAGATGCTGTTATTGAACAACAAATGTCAATGACTGGTGCAAGTATGTTTTGGCTTGATGCTCTTCATAATTGTAAACTCGATCAGGCTTTATCGTTACCATATGATCGATATCGTCTCTCAAATGAACATCGAACTGATCGTGGAACATCTATCTCCTTTCATTTTGGTCAAGATCTCTCACATTACTTTCTTACGCTCGCATCATCAAACAACATATCACTCGAACATCTCACATTTGCTATTTATTTCATTTTTCTATTTAAAATAACTAATGGACAAATGGATTTATGCATTGGAATAAATACACATGGTCGATATAGAAATGAATTTAACTCTATCATTGGATTGTTTGAAAATGTCATTCCATTACGATGTCAACTAGATCCACATTGGTGTTTTCATCAATTACTCAAACATGTTCAAGAGATAACAACGAAGAGTATGAAATATTCATATTTTCCACTTCAACGTATTCTCAATCAGCATCCAGATATTTCAAAACATGCATTTCTCGATACATCTCTCGAATTTCTATTATACAAGAATAATAATGCAGTGATGATTGGTGATTCTCAGCTTGTTCCAACATCTTTCTCATCCAACGATAATGAAGATGAGATATTAACTATATCCGACTTCTCTCTTTCTATTTATCATGATATGAACATGAATCAACTGTCATGCACAGTCAATGCATCACTGGACTTGTTTAATACAGACACAGTCGAGAACATTTCACAACGATTTTATTCCATGTCACATCAATTATCTACATCTATTATTGACAATCAAATAAACAAACCAATCTATGAGTTATCATTAACATTATCAAATGAACAATATCTAGTGCAATCATTGAATAACACACAAATATCGTTTTTATCTCCTCTCACTTGTATTCATCATGAGTTTGTATATCAAGTAATGAAACATCCACAAAAACTAGCTGTTGAACTGGATGAACAATCATTGACATATTGTGAACTTCTATATTATGTTCAAGTATTATCTTTAACTCTTCTTAATGAATATCTTATCACTCCAGGTGAGATCGTGTGTCAATGTGTTGAGCGAAGTTTGTCAATGGTAAGTTAATTAAAATGAGTAACAGTTAATGTGAATTTGAGATTGATTTTGATTAGGTGATTGGCATAATGGGAATTGAAATGGCTGGTGGTGTTTATTGTCCATTATCTCCGCGAGATCCTCAACATCGTTTGCATGCACTCACAAAACAAACACAAAGTCGTCTTGTTCTTGTTCATCATGTAACTAAGAGCAACTTTTCTCATGATGTTGGGGTACTTGATATTGATTCAATATTAATTATTAATGAACTGAATAAAGATATGGATTATAATTACCTTTCAAGTGTGACAGTGAAAAGCGAAGAGATAGCGTACACTATTTTCACTAGTGGTTCAACTGGAACACCTAAAGCAGTTTGTTTTCACTTCATTTTTAGATATCTGATTTATTTTCATGCTCTTTTATAGGTTCAAGTTCGACACAAGAACTTTACTGATTGTATGCATTCTTTGGCTTATATAGACTCATTTAATAGAGATGATACAGTTGTGCAAATGACACGATGTTCATTTGATGTTCACGTTCAAGAAATACTTGGTACATTGTTGGTTGGAGGTTCTTTGATTATGCTTCATCCAGGTGGAACAATTGATTTCAATTATTTATCTGGAGTCTTACAGAACAAAAAAATTACATATCTACATGCTGTACCAAGTCTATTACACAGTTTTTTCGTTTTTATTGAGCAGAACAAGATCATAAATGCCGTCGAACATCTTCGATCACTTTGCAGCGGTGGTCCGTGATTTTCAAACAAATTTTTGCTTGCTTATCTAGTGTACGTTTATTGTTATAGGTGAATCCTTCTCTGTCCATCTCATCGACTTGATTGCGAAAATCGGTATTAGAAACTGTATTGTATGGAATACGTATGGTCCAGCTGAAGCAACCATAGATTGTGCAGTTCATCGTGTGAACGTTATAAATAATATAGAAAGCATTCCAATTGGTAGATCCCTTTCTAATTACCGCTGTATGATTATAAACGAATATTTGCAACTATCAGCCATCAATCAAGAAGGTGAACTATTTGTAGGTGGAGTAGGTGTGTTTGCGGGTTATCTTGGTCGTGATGATTTAACTGCAAAAGCTCTTGTTGAAATAGATGGTCAACTATTTTATCAAACAGGTGATCTTGTTACAATGGATAACAATGGTCTTCTTCATTATCATGGAAGAAAAGATCATCAAATCAAACTACATGGACAACGAATCGAACTTGGTGAAATCGAACGATGTTTACTTAGCATTACATCCATTTCTGCTTGTGTTGTTATAAAATGGAATGATGATTATTTAGTTGCTTATGTTCAGAATTACGATGCTAGTGAACAGGAATTGCGTGAACATTGTCAATCTCATCTTCCACCACATATGATTCCATCAATATTCATTATACTTGATAAACTACCTCTGAATGCAAATGGAAAAGTAGATCGAAAACTTCTTCCTTCACCTCACTTCTCATCTATACAGCTCACAAACAGTACAGAACTAATACTACCAGCAAATGATATTGAAGTTAGAATTCATCATATTTGGTGTGACATATTCAAACAAAATCAGATCTCAATTGATACAAATATATTCACTATCGGTGGTCATTCATTACTTATGATGCAACTTTTTCATCGATATAAGATCGAATTTCATTTAGAAACAAGCACTCTTTCTATTTCGAATCTATTTCAACATCCAACAATTATTCATCATGCTCAATTCATTCAACAATCTAACAATACCATCCACACTCTGGATGATTATCCTTGGTCCTCATTACATATCGTTCTAGCTAGAGCATCGTTTGCACAAGAACGAATCTATTTAGATGAACAAATTCGTTTTTCATCCAACAAAACAATTATGAAGAATATGTATGTTATTCCATTACTTTATCGAATATCATCTATGAATGGTCATATATCTATTTCACGATTACAACATGCGTTCCAATCTATCATAAAAAAACATAAAATTCTGCGAACAGCACTTCATCTTGATGATAGAAATGGTAATATTATACAACACTGCTTAGATGCAAATATCATTCTCAACGACGATGTGAAATCATATGGATTGACAATTGTCAATCTTCATAATGATGATCGTCGTCATATGAATGAAGTTATTGAAGAAATATTAAATCAAGCTAATTTATTTGATTTATCAAAAGGACATGTTATTCGTTGTCATATTCTTCGTCATTGTCATCAATCTCAAGATGTTATTTCAAGTGAGAATGATGATCTATTGACTGAAAATGATCATATATTGATTAGTATTCATCATGCAATGTTTGATGGAGCATCAGTATCAATCTTCACTCGTGATCTTTCTCTTGCTTATCAATCTGATGACTCATTATTTATGGATGCTAACTCATTACAATATATTGACTATTCTACTCAGGAACACATAATGGATATGACATTATCTCGTGAGTTCTGGCATTCTCAACTTGAAAGATACAATATCGAATGCTCACTATCATTACCAGTTGATCGACAACGTTCATCAAGTAGTCAACAACGATCAGGTTTAGCATCCACAGCTGAAATCACTTTCGATAATGAACTATGCACATCATTTCTAAATTATGCATCCTCACATCATCTCACACTTTTTCAACTTGGATTATCCATATTTTATGTCTTCCTATTCAAATTAGCTCATGGTGAGAGCGATTTATGTATTTCTTCTATCAATGCTAATCGATATCGAAGTGAATTGGTGAATATGATAGGAATGTTTGTTTCAACATTACCATATCGTGCTGAGCTTGATCCTCATTGGTCATTTGATAAAGCAGTCAAATATGTACAAGAAAAATGTTTATCAATTCTTGAACATTCTCATTATCCACTTCAATATATTCTTGCTGATTTACATGTCACTAAATCAAATATATCATTTCTTGAAACAATGTTTGATTTCATCACTCTATCAGAAGATGTTAGTGGGTTATGTTTGAATGGTGTTAATCTAGAACAAGTGTCGTTAAATGACTCATATGAAATAGCTAAATTTGACTTCTCATTGACATTTGTACACAATCCATCATCAGATGGTAATCAACTGTCTTGTTGTTTTGTTTGTACAAGTGATATATTTGATGCAACAACAGCTGCCGTAATAGGTCGAAGATTGAAATATCTTTGCGAGCAGATTTTTGATAGTAAATCAAGGAACAGCTTGATGAATGGATATAGTATATCGATCAGCAAGCTTTCTCTTATTCTACATGAAGAAAGTGAAGAAATACACACAATAGC